ACAAAATTTCTTTTTTGTCGAAACCGGAGATTCTCAGGACCTTCGACCTTTGCGGAGAAATGAAATAACCTATAAGGATATCGTAAAGCAGTTACGACTGCAAAAGCCTTGTTTTATGGTATATTAGGTTATACTCTAAGTTATTAGTTTCGTTCAGTAAGCAATATAAATCCGTCAAGATAAAAGTTCGATCTTGCGTAAATTCCTATTTCCGCCTTTGCGCTTGTAAAGCTCCTTGAACAGTGCAATTGGAATCTTGCTGAAGAGCAAGAAAATAGTGGATGTAACGGTAGCGTAGGTAGTAAAAAAAACAAATTAGAAATATGCTCGCGTGACGAGGGCTCAACGAGCTTGAACCAGAGGATTCGTAAAAGCGTACGCGCGAGTTTTTGAGTGTATTTAAGGACACGGCGAAGCCGCGAGCACGCGGTAACGCCCGCAACATGCGGCAAATGGCGCGGCAAATGTCTCACAGGCTCGAAATCTACCGCTAAATTTACGCGAAGCAGGAGAGGAGGTCTATACGAAGAGAACGAAGTAAGAAGAGCTCCTGCACTTCTTGATGAAGAAAAGAGCAAATCATGCTGAAGCACGAAGCGCGGGGAATGTTTTTGCGTGGCTATTTTCCCGTGTAAGTCTAAAGTAAAGCGAATCTTAATGATCGTACGCGACTGCACAAGTAATCTCGAAGATCTGTATGTTGACTTCGAAACACAAAGAAATCGGCAAAATGCGAAGAAGAAAAAACAGAATTAGATATGAGAGACATGTGATGATTATAATGATTATTATAAATATAATAATTTAAAGTTTCTATAACTATAAATATAATAATTTAAAGCTCCTTCAGCACTGATTTTTAAATTGATGATATTAGAAGCGAGAAAACGCAATGAAAATTCTTGCACAATACACATTAAAATAGAAATATTTTTTAATAAAACAATATTTGCATTTGATAGAGTACACTCGTAAAATGTACCGAAAATTCTCTTTTTGTTTCAAAATAAAATTATAATTACATTTCTTGATTCGACAGCTGTCATATAGCTTTCATGTTTCTTTTTTTGGTTAGACATAATTCAATTTCAAATATGTGGTTATTTGTTAACTACTGGAACACAAAGGGAGTTTTCGGTACATTTTACAAAATCCAAATACAAATCTATTCTGTTGATTGTAAATGCTGTTTTATTAAAAAAATACATTTTAATATAGTTTGCTAGAATTTTCTCTATGTATTTTTCTCGTTTCACACGTCACAATCCAAGATGGCTGCAGTAAATACAGACTTTAATAATATTATAGGACTATAAAAAAAATTTTTGGAGAGCCAACTCAAAGTAGATGGTTCTTATAGATTTTGAATCGCTGAATTCTAATTTGTAAGCCGTTTTTCTCTATCACGTCCAGTTTTTTAGATAATCAAGAAAAATGGAAAAGTTTATAAAAATTAAAACATTTAAGGAAAGAGCAAAAGTAAATATAACATTAAAATGCGGTCGCAGAATTGATTTAAATATATTTTGGTAAGTTTGACAAAGTATAAAAAACAAAAAAATTTTTCTTTACTAATAATGTTAGGTATTATAACCTAACACGTTACAAAACAAATCGGTGTAAAATATATTGTGCAACAAATAATCAGCCGATCTGCGTGACCTACGGAAAATTTTTTCAGAAATAATTATTTTAATTGTTACTTTTGGAAAGTAAGTTAGCCACAAAGTTGGGCACAAAATATATCAGAATGAATTTACGCGGTGCATATATAAGTTATAATACCTAACAGTAAAGCAAAATTTTTGTTTCTTACACTTTATTAAACTTGCTAAAATATATTTAAATCAGTTCTGCGACCGCATTTTAATACTATATTTACTTTTGCTGAGTTTCTTTAAATGTTTCAATTTGCACATATTTTCGATCATTTTTCTTGATTACATCTAAAAACTGGACATGATGGAACAATACGAATTCGGATGTAGACTCAAAATCTATAAAAAAAAACACTCTGATTTGAGCTGTTCTTCAAAAATTTTTTTGTGCTCCTGTGTAACTAATTTTTAAAAAATACAGATTAAATAAGTCTAGTTTTATATATGTATATATGTATATATATATATATATATTGCGAGCTTCGAAATTAAACCGTGCACAGTTTTTGCGTTCGTTATATTTACAGAATAAACGTACACTTTACGTTTATAATGGAATACTTTAATACATAATTGGAATATACAATATTTAATCGCAGGTTAAATTCTATGTACGCTATATGAATATGGTTCGCTATTAACGGCAAAGTTACGGCACTCACGTACATATACGCACACAGCGTTATTATCGGATGGCTTTTCGCGAAATCATCGTTGCAAATGCAAACGAACGCGGCGAGGCAGACTATAGAATTTGCATGCGAAAGGATTGAAAAATTGTCAAATAAACGTTAAACGAAGTCGACGAGCGCGTCGTTAAAAATCATCACTGGCGCAATGCGGAAAACACGAGTACGGAGTTCGTGAGTCGGCTTCCCCCCCCTCTCTCTCTCTCTCTTTCTCTTTCTCTCTTTAAAAACGCAGTGTTAATACATTAATTTTATTTTCTGCACTTCAGAAGAGCAATATATTACAGAGCAATATATTTCGTTGTTTCAACTGCAGGGAACATGATGTTATACCAGTACTTTAGAAACGTGCATAAATAGAAATACATATCCCGAAGAAAAATTCCAATTAACAAAGTTGCACGTAATAAAAAATATACTGATATAAATTTTTATTAATCGACCCTTTGATCAATTTGAAATCGATGTCCCTGCTATTATTGAAATTCCACAATGTACTGCACTTATCTTTATCGAAAGGACATAGTATATGACATATTTCTTTTTATTGGTCCTTTTATGCTTCCTTTTTATCACTTCTAATTTAATATGTGGACCACGTTGGCGTCGCTAATTATGAACCCCAAGCACATATTCCTATATAGCGATTGTAACGACAATTTCGTGACGATAATAATAATAGTGAAGCGATATAATATAAAAGATTACATAGTATTCCCTCTTAATCTTTTGATGCATTTAAAAAATTGTTACTGTAGAAAATATACTTTTGATTTGAAGTTAACGATATATAAATTTAAGGATATTTCTTTACGTAAATTTTTTTTTCTTGAGATTATGTGTTTTTATAAGAATGTATGACTTCTTTTGACGTAAAATTTTCGAAAAGATTGTACCTATGGTGCGAATTTCCAAAATTAAAAATTAACACATCTAAAGAAAAATATGGACTAATTAGAGTACAGCACTGTTAAAATTGCGCAAATAATAATGTAAAAACTTTGAAACATTTAATTTTTACGTTTTGTGCGAGTGTAAAGGTTCGTCCCTACTGAAGTCGATCAGTGTCGACTGGCCTCTTCTATTTTTATAAAAAAAAAAAAAGAAACCAGTATCGACACGATTGACTTGAGTGAGCTAAGGAAATGGAATTGTCATATCGATCGTACATTACTGCCATATTAATTACGGTGAACCGCAAACGAACGAATGTTCGCCATAAAAGCCAATTAATATCATAGTGCCACTTACAAGCACCTTTCTCGAGCGATTGAAAGAAGCTTTATAGGTATCGGCATCGCCGACCATCATTCATACACGCCTGTGGGGAAAACGTAGGAATTAGCGGCTCGATATCGAACATCTAATTGGCAAACGATTAGGAATAAACGAGTTGTGCGCCATGACGATTTTCTTCTCATATAAGAGAGAAAGAAAAAGAGAATACGTGTGTCCGTTTTGCTATCCGCCTAGCAACCAACTGTCCGTCGAGCCTGTCCGATATCTCGAAAGGAATATAATCGGATGACGAGCACCGTTAGACAGACACAGTCGTATACACATCCAGGAAGTAAGCAATGCGACGGATATGCGCGATCTTAATCCGGAAACGCGACGTTGTGATACGACCGCTGAAATGGAAGATGATTACGATCGCGAATCACTGCACTATTAACAGGATTGCCACAAAACTGGAAATCGAGGAAATCACAGAAATGTTAGGGAAATTGAAAACGGTCAAGGAAATTAGGGAAAAGTAAGGGAATTTTGCAAAATTTTCTGGAAAATTAAAATTCTTGGTTTTAAAGAAGTTTGGAATACACACACAGTTTTGGAATACTACCAACTTAATAATTAAATGCAAATATTGCTATATTAAATTGCTCTGTCAAATATTCGATCGTTTCCACAAATTAGAAAAATAGTTTCAAAATATTATTGAAAACCAGGAAAAATCATGAAATTTTGTCTGTAAATCAGGAAAAAATTATGGAATTTTAGGACGAAGAATTTTTGGTAACCTTGATTAAATTCGTAATGTCGAATTATACCCAATTTTTAAAATAATTTAATTAAAAAAAATATATTAAATTTAACTCAAATGTAGTTTATTATTTATTAAATGCATACGTTAATATTTTAACGATGATATTTTAACTAATGAATTTGAAACTAACCACAGAAATGGATTGATTTTGACACACATGGAATTGAAAATAAAATGTTATTTAACTCAAAGCATTGGATTATCATTAATTGTTCCTTTGATATCTAACAATGTGCAATCGCAAAATGCATTCTCAACTAAGCTTAGCATGCCATTTGTATCGTCGACGAACTGTTGTATCCGATATATGATTAAATCTCGATATTTGCGCAGGGATATAATTCATTATTACAATACAATTATAACAATAAACACGTGTCTATCAGCTATAATCGCATTAATGCGTGCCGTTAGACTGATAACGCGTATCGAAGGATCGCGTGTGGAGTCGTATTTTGCGTATAGAAAGCTAAAGGGGGGTTTTTTCCATTATATGTCCCCGCATATATGTGACTCATGTCTTTTTCTGTTATTAAGAATGATTATAGCAGAAAGTGTATATGATTGCGAAACTCTAATTATAATCGCGTAAAATAAACATCTTACCTTTTGCGAGGCGATTCAGGATGAGGTCCTTATGTTGTGCGGTATGAGGCTCAGGAAGCACCACGAGAAGGTAGCAGCCACTCAAGGGTGACGGTGGCGGATGTTGTTGCGGTTGCTGTTGTTGTTGAGTGGCTGCCTGCATGTAAAATCATTAGATTTGTAAAGTATCGTAAAATCGCCTCCATTTTGACGCGAAATGCGACCATTTCAAATTTATGCATTTGTATATAAGTACTTTATTTGAGAAAAAAAATGAAGACGTCAAGTATGTAAATAAATGTTTTTTAATTGTAATTATTAGTTTATTTATGATCAAAAAAATATGTATGAATGCTTAATTTATGTATTATTTAGTTTAATACGGGTTTATTTGTTGTAGAAGTTTAGTGCATGAAAGTGTACGAAGGGAAATGTAAGTATACTTTAAAAGATGAACCACCATGCTTGAAATCGTGTACTATGTGCACTTCCGCCATATTGACAATTCCGTCAATTGACGCAACATTTTAAAAGTCATTTGCGGTACTTTATAAATCTAATGATTTTACCTGCATCGGTACGGAGGTGCCAGTGATCGGAGTGCTTGGGGATGGAGTCTGCTCGACATTAGTCGTTGTAGCGCTTTCTCCTCCTCCTCCTCCCCCTCCTCCACCCTCCCCGGTAGGGTCCGTGGTACTCATTGCTGTAATATCATACATCATGAAAGATTCTTGGGAAATAATCTTTTTTCTGTAGTAATTTTCTGCATGCTATTTGTTAATCAATATATCTCTTAGATAGGTACATCCATGATGTAAGAATAACAATTTCATTTCCGTGGATGCCAAGGTGGATGCGCAAGTCGATGACCAATCAGAAATTAGCCCAAAATGTTATAAGCCAATATAAAACTGTTATTAGAAATTTATCACCAATAAGAAATTTATCCCAAAATCATATTCGACCGCCATTATGAAACACCTTGTATTCTTATATATCTCTCTCATAAGTATATCATATATCATCAACGATCAATGATTAATCTTAGAAACCCTGTAATTATAACAAGGAATTTGGTACAGCCAATGATTGATCTTACAATTAGAGATCCTTTAATCAGAGTCTAATTATAACAAGAGATCTGGCATTTTTCGTTAAAATCGTGCGAATGAGAGAAGATATGTTATATCTCACTCTGCAGCAGCGCGAGAGAAAAAAGATATGTGCTATCTCACTCTAACTAACATGAATTGACGAAAAATGTTAAATCAATAAGTTATTATCTTATGTTCAAACTTTGATTTTAAAGGATCTCCAATTGATCTTAAAAGAATTTATTTTTAAATCAATTTGAACAGATATGGTAATTTTGATTGAACCGTTGAACACGCGATAAGGGAATATAAATAATATAAGAGAAATAGTTATAGATAATCTCTCTGGTTATCGACTGTCTGCTGATCGCTTGATCGGGTGAGAGAGAAGTTATTTCGCCATTAGACTGTAGCTACTTTCTCATTTTAATCTTATCGGCCTTTTAACGCGCCGTCACTTAATCTTCTTTTCACGACGGCCATTCAATCACTGACGCGATATACTCAGCTTTTAAATCTTAAATAGCCAAGATCATAATACTTATAGTAAACGAAAAGAAAATTACGTTATCACGGTGAGTCTCGCATAAAAGAAAAAATAAAATAAAAAATGACTCTAATATCTTCGTGAGGTTAAATTTTCATATCCCGTTAAGGCAAAGCTCCAGCTTAACGTTATCATGGTTACCCCTACTCTTTATTAGTGTAGGTACTACGCTACATGCATGTGCTAATTGCAATTAACGTATCCAACGCGGTCAGTCGAGACAAAGAAAGCCCCAGCCGGCCGATTCGTGTTCCACTATTGCTTTGATTATTCGTTAAATCTACTTTTGCCGCGCCATCGTACCGTCTGTCTAACAAATGCTCCGTACGCTCATACGGATGCTCCATCTGCACTGCGTACGAAAGATGAGAGATGAAATGGAGTCGGAGCCGAAATAGAAGTGGCAAGGGTCGAGGAGAAGCTTAATGTCAAGAGGGTTGGCGGTACACAAAGCGCTGCTCTGCCTCCTGCCTCGCTCCTATTCCTTATGTCGAAATGCGGTCGTAATTCCTTCTCCATACAAACGGCATAATCTCGATATTACCCTTTAATACTCGCTTTATGGTCGACTAACATATGCACTGGAGAAACTTTATGATGGACGATCAATCGTTGAAAACTCTCGAACTTCTCCAGTCGTAGCGACACAATACAGAATTCATTAACGATCCCATTCGTTTCATAAACCTGCGATTACAAATTTGAGAAGGAGACACCGATTCCACTTAAGTCAATTTCGAGAAATCCGTACGATGTTTATTGCTAATACAAACTTTTGAATAATTCCCGACAAGAATAGTTTTCGGAGCTTATTTCTCAATGAGATTCAAGTCTATTCTTCTAACATCTACAACAATTCTCATAGCAATATATGTCGTATCTGGATTCGGGAATATCTATATATGCGTACGAGAATTCAAATGGAAATGAAGTATTACTAGCCGGTCGCCAAATCGAAGATCTCAAGGCGAAGGCTGCACACGAGCGGCCCTGCGCACTTTTCTGCAGTTAAGCCGAACGTTGATGAGATTCCCGTCGAAACCCTACGAGAGGCCGAGCTTTTTCCGGGGAAAAAGGGAAATCAGTTTTCCGGGAAGGAGGAGTCTAGGAAGCCTCATGTATTCACTGTGGAATTTGCAGGTCCGCAGAATTTCCAATATTTTACGATCACGGGTGGAGGATCGTCGGGGAACGATCCAACGAGGAGATTGCTGCCTCCTCGACGAGTCGGCGCCGTGGTCGTACCGTACGCACGCACGTCGGCGAAGCCGGTATTGCGCAGGAATTACACGAGCCCTCCGTACAGCGTTATTACATCCTAACGGGCGTAATGCGCAGGACGGGCACAATGCCGGGTGCTCCGCATAGTCCTTAGATCATTGATCCAAATTCGACTGGAGTTCAACGAGGGGAACAGCCGAAAGTCTTACGTGGTCGAATCACGATCGATCCATTCGAAATGTACTGTGGTCATGAGGAAATGATGCCGGTACCTTCTGTTAAGACATTCTTTAGACAGTAGATAGCACTGTCGATAAAATTTTTCTGTTTGCTTTAACAAAAAGATCAATAAGATATCGAATTACAAGTTATTCCAATACCAGAAGTAATGAAGATGACCGGCGAACGAGAATTGATTGCATCCCGGTGAAACTTCCGGGACGAAACCACCCCACCACGTACCGTGCACTGCAGTGCAACCCCTTAGTAACAGATCGCCCCCTCTCGCGAGGCACCCAGCGATAGCGGTGACGGCGGCAGTGGCGGCGGGCGGTGTGTCGACCGATAAAATCCATACGTCATATGGCAGGCGAGAAAATCGTCAGCACAAATTTCGTCAGGGTTGCACACGCCTCAACCGTCCGTCTGTCCGTTCGTCCATCGTTGCCATCGTGACCCGGTTAAATGGTAGGTCGCCGACACGTAGCGGATTTCGATCGGTTCGAGTCTGTCGAGCTCTCGGCCAAGTCTCCAATAGTAGTAGCGTACTCACCTGGTTACTCGTTACACTCCCCCAGCAATATTCCTGGGTACCACGAGCCGGGGTAGCCTCAACGAACTGAATTCCAGGTTCCGAAAGTATCCTGGAGGGCTGTTACCACTGCGGTAATATGCGAACGATGACGTCGCCCGTGATTAACGGGATGTCCCTCGAAGGAAAGAAGTGTCGCGCGTTGGAGACTGTCCGTCTCCAAGTTGTTTGTCCCTTCGTCTGCTTTCTCGAAGCCCAATGGGAGATGGAGCGGGGCACACCTCTCTCGCTCCTTTAGCGCACCGCGAAAAGTACTGTACCAGACGCAGAGATCGGAACGATTGAGAACGAGATTAAGGCGAGGGGGGAGGAGGAGTAACGTAGAGAATAGTAGGCAAGGAAAAAGGGTAGGAAAGAAATAGGAAAGGTAGAAAAGAAGAGGTAGAACAGAAAAAAGAGAGCGATGAGGAATGATAGAACTCGAGTGAAGCACAGTGACGTACGTTTGACGTTATACGTGTCTCTATGTATCGAGGCGAGTACTGCGGTGCTACAACACCGGGCGTCCCGAAGACGACGGGGGTTGCGAGCGGACGGGCGAGAGACCGAACGAGAGAGAGGAGGGTCCGAGAGATGGAGAACTACGCGGAGACCGGCGTAGAGAGATCGACGGACGGCCTCCGACGGCGAACGACGTTTCGTTGTCCAAAGCGGAAGCCTCTCCGTCGAGTGCACGTCGGAAATCGGTATACGGACGCGAAATCCTCCTCTCCTCGACGGGCCCTGTCCCCTGCTGTCGACGGCGGCGAGAGCGAGGGCGACGGCGACGGCGACGGCGACGATTCTCACAGTGCTTGTTGTAACCTCTCGATTATCAAAGCTCGGCAGCAACACTCGCGTTGCGGGCTGCCGGCTCTCTGACGGGAGAACTCGCGGCGCTGCGGCCCCCTGCGTCGGCGGCGGTGACGGCGACGTTGGCGGTGGAAAACCCTCTCACCTCCCCCCCCTGTCGCGACGCACCTACCAGCATCCCCACTAGTCGTGCGGCGCGATTGGTCGTCCGCGCAGCCGGGCCTACTATCGCCGCCGTCGTCGCGCCGGTCTATACACCGTCAGGGACGATCACCACGTATAGAACGTATAGAACGCTTCTGGGTATATTGTACGTGACCGAAGTCTGTCTGGGTGTCGCGTGAACCGAGTGGCAAGGGCTGTTGCGGGGAGGCCTGGGAGGAAAGGCGACTATCAGACTCGCCGGTAGGAACCGGCGAAAGGACGACTTATAGACGTAACGGAAGTGACGTAACGACCGTCAGATCAAAGAATTCCCGAAGCGATCATAAGGTCTGGGCTTCTCTCCTTCGTGGTCGTCGCCAAGGCAGGGCAGAGATAATGAGGATCAGGACTTACGTGCGCTTTGTACACACGCGCACGGAATCGGCAGACTCGCGCGTTGGGGATGACGGTGAAGATCAATCGACGAACGGGCGTGCCCGGGATTGTAATATTCGCGGATATTGTAACGCCTTGGAAGTTGGCTTAACGTAATGGAAGTAGAGTTAGGAACATCTGATAGATAGGAGCAATTAGCGGTCTTCATTTTGGTTCCATTCTCATGATTAGAACGAAGATTATCCCCCACTGATTCCGTGGGGGGGATCGAACAAACTGAATTACCTACTGTGCTAACTAATAGCAGATATTTATATTCTTAAATGCGATTCTATTAGTCGATAACTTGCAAATTGGCTAAAATGATCTCGTTGAATGGCCAAACTGAGTGACCTTGTTGGATTGCGAAAGACGACATCCAACAGAACGGATGCAATTAATGACAAGTAGAGACCGGGTGATGCATTACTCCAATAGATTACCGAACAAAAATAGGTTTTTGCCTTTAGCCATTTTGTTTTCGTAAAACTCGTCAATAGTAATTCATCAATCAACGTGGCATCCTTTGCCACAAGCTGTACAACAAGAGGAACATGAAGTACAACTAAATGCAACACATAATAGCGGAAAATATAAATGTCTATTTTAAAGGCTACAATATAAGTTGAACGATTTGTTCTTAAAATCTCATATTTTTTACTTTTGTTACTTTATGCAGTTATCGAGGAATATACTATTTTATTATAGATAAGTAATTATATATGTACAGTATAAATAAATCATATATAATAAATCGATATTTTTAATCATCATTTTTAAGTGAAAATTTTGGCTAATGAATATTTTTCTAATATTTATCGCAACATCAATGATTCAAGACATCAACAATTTTATGAGACATTTACGACTCTATGACTGACTTATTTTTGCTCATTCGCTGGTTAAAAGTCACGAATTTATCGGTTCTGAAAAAAATATCTCCGCATGGATGACAGGTCCACACAGTTATTTGGGCTTAGCGAACACCCGCAGATTCGAGTTCATTACACTTCCATACATTAACACATCATATATGGATATATGGACCATAGATGGATCATAGATGAATAAGTAGATAAAGCGTTTATTGTGTCGTTCTAAGGCGAGCCCTCCATAATAAGAACATATAAATAATAGCAATCATAACACAAAGAACAAAGACAATAATTTACAGAAAGAAGCAATGTACAAACGAAAAAAATAATATAAAAGCAAAGAAAGAAAATACGCAAAAAATAAAATATGTAGAAATTCTAAAAAAAATAGAGAGCAACTAAATAAAATATAACGATAAAAAATTAAACAAAAAAATACTAACTCATATATGTTTATATACTTTTACATGTTTTTTTAAACAATCCTATAAACATTTTAGATAAAATATAGAAGACAACTATAAAGTGTCATATCGTATTTTATTGAAACAAGATAAATTAGAATTTATTTGCATTTATATATTTTAAAAAAAATCCCTTTTCTCTCTCTCTCTCTCTCTCTCTCTCTTTTCCTCACAATCAGATAGAAACGTAGTAGAAAGTCGATATTCTTTGTGTTGTGTGCCGGGTGACAAGATGGTGACTATCGGCATGTAGGAAAAGTATAAGATTGGCGGAAGAGGTGAGTTTGGGGTTGCTATTCTTGTATCTGAAGAATTTCCTTCCGACTTGATTCCGTACGACAGCTAGAATAATGTATTTGGAAGGTAGGTATTGCTGTAGGAACGAAACTTCGAAAAGCGGATTCGCTAGTTCCGCTTTTTCACGAGCGAGTCTCGCGCCGCCCTAAAGTCGAACGTCGATAGGAGCTCGTGCAAAAAAGAAAAGTGTCACTTCTCAAACTTTCATTCGTTTCTCTCGTTACAATATTAAATTTAAAAATTATTGCCTTCACGTTCACACCTCATTCGCACCTTTTCTGATCTCCTTTTATCCGACGAGTGCCGCGTGTCCCGAATTCTAGATTTTACTTCGTTTCTCGATAAATACTATTCAGGTAATACGCCTAAGTGTGTCAATATAAGTCGAAACAGGTCGACGTAGATAAACGATGAGTGAAAACCGACTCGTAACATACGATAATTAATTACGTTCACGTTAGTTGACTAATGAAAGATTTCGCGGTACACCGAGTTCGCTAAATGGCAATATTCAAGGTGCAACATCGACAGTTCCATGATTCCACGTGACGATATCGATTTTGGAAGAACGCGGGAGCAAGTTCTCGTCCGATACAAGTTTAATACCCCGGCCCTAATGGCGCACGGTTGTTTATGCGAACAGCTCGACGATCATGGGTGCGTAGAAACGATGGTAGTTAAATATCAAGGGACGGTTCGATAACGGTACAAGAACGTGAGATATAAGTCTGTTATAAGAAGCGATTTATCGCAGTCATGCTCATTTGTCGCATTGCAGTGAGGAACGTACATTGTACAATTCTTCAAGACTTGTCGGGCTCTCGCACTAAAGGCGTCCTGACGGAATCTCTTAATGAACAGGCACGCACGTCAACTTCAACGCTTTGAAAAGCACCCAACTATGTGATAAAACAAAAACATCACCTCATTACTATTCGTAAAAATATAATACCGCAATGTTGCCCGTAATAACACGTTAACAACTAAATAATTTTACATGCCGAGAGTGTTTTTTTCTTCCTCTCTGTTTAATTCATCAAAGATCTCGTCAGTTAATTTAAGTTTCTCAAATAGTTGCTAACATTATTAACTGTTTCCTCTCGACGTTTTCATAATATATTTTCAATTTTATGCAATTTTCGTAAAAGGATTTCTTTTGTTTGATCTCTATACTCGCAAGAGCAAGATAACCTATAATTTATTAGCTAAAAATTTTTTTCGACGTGACGTGCGAGCAAAACTGAATGTCTAAGTGTCTCGCAGGATCTTTCGAGCAGGTTTGCAGGGACGTAAACGTGACTGCGATACCAATGCATCTATTCATTCAGGAACGTTCATAATACTTTCCGACGCAACCGAAACATCGTCTTTCGCACGGTTCACCAAAGGTATATTCTAACGTAACATCCGAACAAGATGAAGCTACCGTGTATAATATCTCTTCAATGCGACATTATGTTCTTCTTCAACGTGATTCTCGTATACGAAATGTAACCGCAGTGACGTTTGATTTAAAGTTTACGGTATCGTGACTGCGCGAGATTACATAATCACGAAAATTAATTAAAAATTAGAAATTCAGAATGAAAATAAAGTAACATATACTAGAGCGGCAATTAAAAATATATATAAAGACCGATATTCATATTCTGTTTTTATTTTTGAAACCATCTTAAGTAATGTCTTAAAATGCTAATTCGACTCTCTGATTGATTCATGACATTTTAAGATTGTACTTAAGATAATCTTAAATATAAGAATCGACTATGAACACTTTAAACGAGGAATAAGATTTGTGTCTACTTATGTTACCATCTAAAAAAGTCAATTATTTTTAGTCTGTTTATCCTATAATTTCATATATATATATTATATATATATATATCGTATATATATATCGACCGATATTTTCACTAAAAAAAGGACGTTATTAAAGAACAATGGTCGCATGGAAAATTTATGTACTAAAAGAAACAGAGACAATCCATATCTTCCGATACACCCGCGCTTATTGGAAAACTCGATTGCGCTGCCTCTTATAACACAAAGACAAAGTTGAATTTACGCTTTTCGAGAATGGTTGATCTTAAAGTCGTCCATTAAACTTTTTTTAGTATTTAAGTTTCAAGTAATACGCGCGATGCCCGTAACTGCTTGAGCACGTGTCTCGCTTTTAAAGGGGATTGATACATTTTTTATTAAGCCGTACGATCGGTAGCGAGCTTTTACTCTGTGCTATAGATACAGAACTACGGCAGATATGCTTTTAATCTTTTTCTCAGAAATATGATTTGGTAAGTCGTGCATTATATGCGCGAGATCGAGAACGTGAATTAGATTGAGAACGCGAACGAGCTCTCAAATTAGCTTTCAAATTTGAAAATGCACTAAGCGTAATTATACTTTAATAAGACCCCTTTCAAGGGATGATGTATTTACGTGATCTATGCATGCATTGCGGAAGTTTCCTAGCTCTTCGAAGTTTGTCGAGGTAAAATTGAAAACAGAGTCGAGATTCTTGAAAGGAGAATCTGCAACACGGTACCCATCATTATAATTTTATAATATAATTTACCTTAAAATTACATTCTCTCGTTTAAAAAAATCACAAATTAAATATGAGTATCAATTAAATATCTAATGATCTCTTTTTGATTATCTATTAAGGCGTAAACGATATTTGGACCGCAATAAACGAGCAACGATGGTCACGTATGCGCAAT